GGGGCGGGGTGGGGTATATAACATGGGTGCAACATTGGGTAGCCCAACATCAAGGATGAGCCTGACTCTGATATCATATTATAAATTTGTAATATTGTTCGCTTTGAACCTAGACCTGCACAGTTTTAAAACGTGTCAAGGCTACTTCCTTATGTACCTCTTGTGTTTTGCAGATGTGGTATTTACTTAGCATGTTACACACATCCGCATTTTACGAACTCAACGTCCTCGCTAAGGCTGTCTAACCAAAAAGCTAGCTCATGCAATAATAATTTTCCGAAACCATATAAGAAGATCACAACACATACACTTAGCCGATGTGGACTCTAACAATATAAATGAATCTCACTTTTGTTCACATAGGATATCAATGTCAAGATTTTTTTCTCTGGACAATATCAAGATCACCGCTCATAATAGTGTATTTCTTTTTTCTAACAGAAATTCTGACATGTGATTGCCTATGTCAAATTTAGTGCCAAATAACAAAAAAATAATACTCCCTGTCCCAATTATGTGACGGTGTCTGACTGGGATGGAGCTTAAGAAAAAAGGACATTTAAAATTAAATTGTTCGATATAGAAAGGTGTCATTCTTTTTAGGACAGAGTAAAGGGAAAAATGTGTTCACATAAAATGGGATAGAGGGAGTAATAAAAAGCATTGAACTATGATACACACCTAGCTATTTCTTCAACTGATGCAGGTCCCAGGTAGTTCTCGTTTACCTTCTTGTCTGGAGACCCTATGTATCTGAATAGACAAAACAGTCAAGTTATGCATATGAACCTTCAAAACCAAACTGAGCAGAAATCATGCTGCGTGTCACTTTTTGTAACTTACACTAATACACCAGAAACAGCTGGTTCTGATGCTGCAGGCTCCTGGAATATAAGTTGATATGCTATTGAATAAATAATCACAGAGCAAAGAATTATAAATAAACCAAGCACTTTTATTTGGTTAAATATTACTTCATTATGACTTACAGTGAAAAGATCTACATAAGCCTTCTTGTCATATTGCTTTTCCCTGACTTCAAGGTACTAGATGGAAAACAGATGAAAAGAATATTCAGTAACAAAAATAGGGTCATTCAATGTTGTGATTTAGGCCACATGAATACCAATATAATAGAATTGTAAGCAGGCAAACAAGAAAATCTCATCATACAAGTGAAAGTTTGAAGCTTAAGTAAAATTTGGAAAACTGGAACCACTAACTCGTCAAACTCTTAAAGAATATCATAATAAGGGAGCTAAATATTTTGGATTCAAATTGGGCATGCAGTTTTCCAGTTCATCCTGGTGAACATGAGCATTTAGTTGATGACAATTTGTGCATTTTACAACAACAATAACAACATACCCAGTGTAATCCCACAAGTGGAGTTTGGGGATGGTACGCATACCTTAGAATTTGTGCATTTTGTACAACAAAATTGTAGAATTACCTCAATTTGAATCTTAAATGTCCTATTCAGAAATTTAAGTACCCAGATAACGAATTCCAGAAGTTCTACATTCCCTTTTAGGAATTCTCTCAAGAAAATATTATCTGTAAGAGCCACTGGTAAGTGAAATCAAGTCTAGCTCAACTTCTCTTTCATGGTATAAGGGGTGATAAATTACAACCAACTACTTTGATATGATTTTCTAAGGCAACATAAGAGATTCTGTTTCCTGACATTTAGTGAAAAAGAACCAGGGATTATGCCTTTTACAGATTATGCATGCCCCACTGCCTGGCAACTGAACACCGTCCTCGTTCAAATTAGAGATACATGCATAGTAAGACAACTTCGAGCTTAATGATTTATTTCCAGATTTGGAGTGTATTAGCACTTTTTTAATGGATAAATACAGATTAGAGATACAGCATGTAACACTACTGTTGTTCATTTTGGACCTCGTGTGAGACTCCAATGAGCATAGATGATTAATTGCCCCTTGCAGAAAAACATGTAACTGTCTATAATTCACTTAATGTATACAACTTGTGTCCAGGGGGTTTCCCCTTTTTGATGCTATAAGTAATAACATTACTCAATTTAATGAAAATTAGAAACTCTGTGTGCATATAATAGCTCAAAAACTTATATGTTTTAACTGAATGTACTGTTTCTTTTAGATCAGACTGATCCCAAAATATTTAAAGTTAGACCACATTTCACCTCCTTAAATCCAGAACTTCCTCTATCAAGTGCACTGTTGTCAAAAGCAAAAAGCTCTAAAAAGCGGTCCAGGTCGATTGGGGCTTTAAGCGCAACTGAAGTGCGAGCTTTAGTTAAAAAAGGCGCAACTAAGGAAAAATATAAAAATACATATGTAATTCAAGAAAAAAGAAACAGACCCATTCCTAATGTCTTTATCAACAACTAATACACTTATTTGCCGATAATATTTGTCGTATAGTACTGCTCGATTTAGGATAGAACTCATGGGCAATGAGGCGCACAACTTAGTGCCTTGCCTACACTGAAGCTCAGCTTAAGCGAGGTGAAGCACCCTCCCTAAGCTTTTTGAGCTTCAGGGCTTAAGCGCGCCTTAAATGAGCCTTTGACAACACTGAATTCAAGTGTAACAAACAACTCGGCTCTTCAGTGCATAAAGTCAATAGGTTTTAAGACAGCAAGATAACACTTCATTATATTCAAATAGTAAAAACTGAATGTGATTCAAATGCATATCTGACAAAAGCATGAATTTTTGAATTCTCACGTTCATGTAAACACAAATTTCGGTGTTCAGAGTCTCGTATTCACTTAAAAAGCTGAAACGACATATACTTTATAATCTTTCACTTGGAGAAAGGATAAAATAAAAGAACCTTTTGCATAAAAAAGAGACATACCGTCAGTGCAACTTCTTGATCTTCCTTCTTCGTTATCTTATAGGCAATACCCCACTGATCAGAAGCATAGAGAGTCATCAGTTTCAACTATTTGGAATAAGTCATATGTAAGCAGATAACTTTCATAACATAAAACAGCACACAAGCTCTTTGAGTGTATGTTGTTGCTGGAAACAATATGCTGAATATTTTGCATTGGTCTGATTAAGAATAGACTTCACCACTAAGTTGATCAGTTTCATAGCTCTAAGAAAGAAAGGACAAACGTATACACACTGTTGTGACTGAATACACAAGAGGAAAGGCAAGGGAAAAGAGCCACCAAGAGGAATAGCTTTCTTATCTTCTTTCAAATATATACACTTCATACTCTACTTTTTTTCCTTTGCATCAATCAGACATTTGAGGAATACAGGACAGACAGTCATCGCATCAGACATTTTTTTCCCTTTGCATCAATCAGGCATTGTTTTGACTAATAATGTTGATTTAAAATGAAGACATCAGCTGTAGAATCAACTTGTGCATTTGGACTAATTGTAACAAAAGAATGTATGGACTCAGAAGAAGTGAATATAGAAGGAACCAATGTTACATCATCACCTCAGAATCCAAACATAACAACCTATAAAACTGAAAGTGTTTTTCATTTTTCAGGACACAAACATCAAATGGCTTAATGTAGAAAAGCACTTACACAAACTTCTCCTTCAGCTGGCTCCAGTGTCGCTGTTCTACCTGGAAATTCTGGTGTCCCTCTGTGATCAGTACTGCCTACATTACATAGCATGTATTCATAAAAACTGTTTCCTTACCAGCGTCAACTTGACCAACTGTCATAGTTAAATCTAAAATAAATTAATACTTCATCCGTCTCAATTTATCTGATACTATATGACTGGACATGTAGTTTAACAAAGAATTTTTTTTTAAACGTGTGTCTAAAATAAGTCATACTCATTTATGTCTACAAATAATAACATTAAGTGTAAAATCAGAAGTTTAAATATACTAAAAGGGAAAGAGTGTCACATTAAAGAAACTCTGAAAAAGAAGCACGTGACAACTCAGAGGCGGGGCTAGTATTTAAAGCTTATGGGTTCGGATTGTAGCCCTTTTAAGTTAATGGATTCTAAATTAACAATATGTGTATCATTCAATAGATTTCTTGAACAAAGTTACCGGGCCCGCAACTGCAAGGCTAGCTCCGGAACATTTTGCAGGGAGGGGAGTAGCATTCCAACCATCAAATGTACATATTAAAAGAAAATTAAAATAGAAACAGTTTAGGAAAAGGCAGAAGGTTCACCTTGATAAAAGACACGGCGATAGCCTTTGATGAAACCAACAAGGCGATCATCATAGTTAAAGCCAGGCTTCCAAATTAGAGATCCATATCCAAATACCCACATCACCATTTTCACTCTCTCTCAGACTCTCGCTGTGTTTTGAGAGTGAGAGAGAGGAGATGAAAAGTGAACAGCAACGGAGCCAAGAATGCAGTGGTTTATGAATAACTTTTAATACAGAAAGTTTTAATAGCATCCAATGGCGAGATGCCAAGACAGAATGGCGAGTTTTCTTAATATATTTTCCTCTAAAATTTTGTAATTCGAGCGGTTTTCAGCCTTATTTGTTTCACTTAAATGGGGTTGTTACCTATTGTACCGTATTGTTAGTTTAAATAGGATGTTTGTTTTGGTTGTTACTTAGATTTTATTATATCGTATTGTTAAATTCGTCGTTACGTAACGGCGAAATGTGTCACTTTATGTAACGACCAATTTGGTGTGGTTGCGTCGTTATCTTTTTCTCTCATCTCACCCTTCATTATTATTAAATAATTTTATTTTATCATTTACCCTATCTTTTATATGATAAATTTACCCCGTATCATAATTTTTCTTTATAATGTTGCAAGTTTATTCTTCATATTGCTGGTGTATGATATCATGAAACAACAGCAAACGATACAATCTATCCAAACATTGTATTCATCAAACAATATAGTACAAGATAAAACAATACGATATGAAGAATGAGATTATGAACCGATGTGTAACAACCATCCAAACAATACAATACATTATAAAACAATACAATATATACAATACATTATGAAACGATGTGTAACAACCATCCAAACAAGCTGTTATGGGATTTTTGCCCATATATGATATATTAATAACTTATTTACATGATTTGACTATATCAAAGAGAATTTCATCGATTAATACATACCTTAAATATATTGTGATTAGCTAATAATTTGGTAAATCAGTTTTAAAAAGATTCTACAAATTAATCCACCGTTAAACATCTTGTTTTTCATGCCGAAATTGACTAATATGTAGCTTCAAAATTTGACAAATTGACGACAACTTAGTAATTGGAAAGTAAATCGCATTTGAAAATAACATACACAATTAGCTAGCTACAAATCACACATATTTATGATACAATTTTGAAAGGCGGTCGCAAAACAACATAGACTTAACTTTACTTTTTATCATCAATGGTGACAATAAAAATCATGCTTCATCTCCAAAACTTTAAACTTAAACGCCAAAATATTCAGAAACAACAATCAATTTAATGCGAGCATCAAAAAGAAAACTCGGTATAGTTTTGAAATATTCCAACACAAATAAATTCAAAAGCAACAAGTAAAATCGAGAAGAAAAAAAAAACGAATTGATGAAATAATATACAACTTTTATACGATATTCATAAAATTTTATACATCTTCCTTGGTGGGGTCGTTTCTAGATACAATTTGTATGCCTTCATACAACATCATATAATTTTTATATAATTTTGTGCAACATCGGGCAATATTCATACAACTATCACAGCTTTCATACAGTTTTGATATACTTCAAACGTGTAGTTAATTAGGTATGATTTGTCTGCCATGCTTCATACAACATCATACACCATCCATATAATTTGCATACATCTTACATACAATTATGTAAGCTATATGTATTTTGTATATCTGTGTACGGATGAAATCGGGGGAAATGTCTATCCCGATTCCCCGATGGAAGAGAGCGGAGGGAGAACACGAATCTGTGAGATAGTAATCGGGGTTAGAGACTCTTCGTACCTAGACCTCGGAAGAGAGAACGATATATCTGTCATCGGGTATGGTAAAGCGACACGCCCGGGGCCAAGTATAAGTTCTAAGGCCTCGGGAGACATGGTGAACGGTTGTGCATGACGGATAGAGGGCCGTGATACTCGCCCTCAACCATATATCATGGCACGAATCTCGCTCGATGCCGATTATGGATCAATAGTTACCTGGAAAAGAAGATTTTTACTTTTTTTAGACTTTTACTAGGGCTGAAACTCTCCTACTATATAACTGAAAATTCTTCCTTAATCTGACACATTTGTGACACGCAATTCAAGGCAATAAAAGTTTATTTTTGTTCTCTAAGCTACTGTTGACAGTTTTACTCACTTGTTTTGTCCTTTATTCACGACTAGGCTTAAATCGAAGGCACAATCGAGGACAAGCTCGTTATTCAATCTAAGATCAGCCCTGATCTAAACATTGCGAGTGGTTTGATCATTCGTTTCATCTTTAATACATTTATCTATTATTCTTGATTATTCGTATTGAATTAAACCACGTATCCATTAAACCGCGTACAAATTCAATTGTTAACCAATTTTGGGGTAAACAGTTTGGCGCCCACCATAGGACTATCGATAAAAGTGGTGATATGGCACGAATCTACATAATACGCCCTATTTTACGCTTGTTCTTTGAAATCTTAGTTTCAAGTCAGCCTAAAAATGTCAAACTCTTAGACTGCTCACTTGAACGTTGACGCTGAGTCTGGCTATCACGACGAAAATAATAATTTGGTGCCCAGCAATGATGTGCTTCCTGCTGATCCCAAATGTGTCCCAACTATCGACCCAGTCGATGCTAACTCGGAGCTGGCCATCAACATCAATTTGCCAACCGATCCCGAAAATAGTGTTCGCGAGAGACTCCGACCAACAGCTCGAGAAGCACCTAAAGACGAAGCTAATGGGGTAAGCCTATGGCTGATTTTCAAAATGTTGCAGGCTCAACAAGTGGCAATAGCACAGCTGCAGAATCAAAACCACGCCCCCAACAAGGTCGAGCCCGAACAATCCCCGGAAAGCACCCGAAGAGACGAACAAATTATCAAGAGATCGGGTGAAGTCAAACCCGGGGTAACCCCCGAGGTAATGAAAATGCTCGAAGCGTTAACAAAACGGGTGGAGTCAGGTGAGAAAAAGATTGACGCTAAAGACAAAAATGTGGAAACATACAACTTCAGGGTCAATCAGAACCCGGGAGCACCCCCGATATTGAAGGGATCGAACTCCAAATTTTTTATCCAGAAGCCCTTTCCTCCCAGCACGACACCAAAGCCGATCCCAAAGATTCTTCGTATGCCCGACATCTTAAAATATAATGGGACCATGGATCTAAATGAGAATGGGACCTCCTATACATGCGCAATCAAGGGGAACGATTTAGAAGATGATGAGATCAAGTCGGTGTTACTGAAGAAGTTGAGGAAGACTTTGTCCAGGGGGCGATGATATGGTATCACAACTTGCTCCCAAATTCTATGGACTCATTTGCTATCTTGTAGATACTTTCGTAAAGGCCCGTGCCGGGGCCATCAAGGTCGATACCAGAAAGTCATATCTTTTCATGGTCAAACAAAGGGATAACGAGATGCTCAGAGAGTTTGTGTCAAGATTCCGGATGGAACAGATAGACCTACCACCGGTTGCAGATGATTGGGCCGTTCAGGCATTCCCTCAGGTACTCAACCCCCGAAGTTCCCTGGCCTATCAACAGCTAAAGCAAAATTTGGTGAAGTACCCAGTGGTAACCTAGGCCAATGTCCACAACAGGTACTAGTCAAAGATCAGGGTCGAGGATGACCAACTCGGGGCACCTTTTGGATTTGTTTATCCCATCAGGGCCGATTATAGATTTAAGAGAGCCATTGATCATGAGCCAAGACCGGTCCGAGATTAGTATAAACCATACAACACAGACCGAAGGGGAAATGGATCTGGGCATCACCTCAAATGAATGAGAAGAGAAGAGATCGAGGGACCAGCGGTCGAGGTTTGATGAGCAAGAATGGGTTCGAATGACCGCTCGAGAGTAGGGAACCACCAAGATTATTGGAGTACAACTTCAATGTGGACACTGCCAGTATCATGTCAGCCATAGGGCATATCAAAAGAGACCAAGTGGCCCCGACCATTGTAGTATGACCCTATCCAGAGAGATCCTAATTTGATGTGCAAGTATTATGGCACCCACAGTTGTAGGACCAAAGTTTGCCGATAGATAAGAGAAGAAGTTGCCAGTTATTCAACAACGGGCACCTCTGAGAATTCCTGAGTGGGCGAGCCAAAAACCACTTCAGGAACAGGGACGCCAACAAACAGGTCGAAAAAGAGGAGCCTCAACATGTCATCAACACGATCATCAGAGGAGTCGATGTTCCCCAAGGACCAATGATAAAATGCACTAAAGTATTTGTCACAAGGCAAAAACGCACCCGTGATTATGTTCCGGAAGGAGCCATTTCATTTAGCAACGAAGATGCTGAGGTCATCATATAGCCCCACAACGATGCACTGGTAATATTCGTACTTATCAATAAATCTCGAGTTAAACATGTGATGATTGATCCAAGTAGCTACGCCATCAGATCAAGGGTCGTAGAGGAATTAGGATTACAGGACCAAATTGTACCAGCAGTCAGGGTGTTGAACGGATTTAACATGGCATGTAAGACCACAAAAGGAGAGATAACTAGACAATCCAAGAAACGATGTTCTACATGATCGAATGGGACATGAGATACAACGCTCTATTCAGAAGGCCATGGATCCACAACATGAGGGAGGTACCCTCGACCTTGCACTAGACATTGAAATTTCCCACACCGGGGGGAGTCAAAATAGTCTATAGAAAATAATAGCCGCAAAGGATATGTTTGCTATAGATGAGGTAATCCCGGTGCCCACGGTTTCGATGTTAAGGAATACGGAACCAACCAAAAAGGATGAGATCAAATAGCAATCACTGATACCAGCCTCGGCTAAATAGGAGAAACAAGAAGAATGAGGAGCAGACGATGAGGATGATTACGGAGTCCCGAGATCATTCATAGTTTCTGATGAGACCGACACCACCAAATCAATGGTTGAAGAGATGGAGCAAGTCATATTAACCGAGCATCTACCGAATCGAAAGGTATACATGGGCACAGGGTTAAACCCCGAGCTCTGGAAAAAACTTATTAATTTTCTTAAAGCTAATACCGATTGTTTCGCTTGGTCCCATCTTGACATGTCAGGGATCCCACCGAAGGTAACCACTCACAAGATGAGTTTGGACCCTAAGTTCCATATGGTTAAGCATAAGAGGAGACCACAGTCCGAGATCAAACATGCATTCATCAAGGATGAGTTATCCAAACTTCTAAAAATAGGATCCATCTGGGAAGTTAAATACTCGGA